TCATTGACAAATTCACTGCATTTTCGCATTCAATCCCTTCACACAAAACACTTGAATTTTGTGACAAAAAACACTTCATTTTGTCTAAACTTTGACAAAAATCACGAAATTCACACAAATTAGACAATTGGCACTTCATTTCCCTCACATTAACATACATTTTATATAATTTAAATTAAAACTGCATTTATTTATTGACAAAATATATTGACATAAAACTCAACAAATGACTGAAACAATAGATTTTAAGACCATTTGGCTCTAAGACTAAACCAACGGTCGAAATGAAGTTTAAAACAAACCCGGTTTTCAATGAAACCTTTGAATTTGAAACCTTTAAAGTTTGAAACAAACATTAAGCACCTGGATCATATCACCAACTTGATGGATCATACAGTCAGAGAGGGACTGGAGTTTATGATTGTCTGGTCCACAATCTTATTAAGGCACCAGTTTCTGATGATTTATAAAAGTTTTTTATATTTTCACATTTAATGCCAAACGTAAAGTGTTTTATTATATCTGGTTTAATTGTATATTTATTTCATACGATTAGTTTTGTAATAATACATTTTATACGCCATACATTAATTTTATAAATATTAATCGTTAAGCATAATATTTTACATTAATAAAATTGACATTGTCATTTAATCACACAAATCATTCAATCATATAATATAACCTATGTAATTAACAACCGGTCACTAGTCAGTATGTCAATGAACAGTACGTTTATGTCGTAATAACACGTGTTTTGTTGTAAACTGTTTGCCACATTCACTCCAATCGCATATAAACCACGAATTTAAATGATAAGCATTTTTATGCACAACTAGTGTTGCCTTTCGTTTAAAACTTTTGTCACAATCAGTAAAATCACATTTAAATTGTTTAATACTATTGTGTCTATCTTGATGCATATTTTGTATCAACTTTGACACAATTTCCGAAATTCACACAAATTAGACAATTGGCACTTCATTTCACTCACATTGTCATACATTTTAAATCAATACTTAAAATATGATTTATTTATTTCCCCACAAAAATCACAAACGACTGAAACAATGAAACTTTTTAGACAATTGGCGCTAAAACTATTAAATCGATGTTTCAAACAAAACGGTTTTCATTTACATTCAATTCAGTTGCCTACCGGTGCCTCACAGTCTAAACCAGGTAAACATACACATTTATTTTCGCCAAGATATTTTATGTTTAGTTAATAAAAATTATTTATTTTAATAAATAAATTTTGGAACCATTGATAAATTGAGAATGACCTAGTTTCATTTTATTCTACATTTAATAGACACACCAGTAAAATGTACAGGCAATACACAAATCCATGTCAATGCCATAGTAGTGCACCGGTATGCTAGTGATTATAATGATAGTGAGAGGGGAACTGTACGTTGAAACTCAAAACAAGTTCTCACTTTTGAACTGAAAGTACTCGCACTTAAAGGCACTCCGATTTTGAGTATAATTAGTATTTTGCGTACATTTTTGTCGCATAAAAACACTCGCAAAACGTGTCACAAGTATTCAAAATATTAATTTTTAAACACAATTAATAACTCAATAATAATTTGTTAACAAAAACTATACAAACAATGAGTGCATCGATACGATACATGCGATCAATACTTTGCGCGGCTTTTCGCCAGCAATCCGTACGCTACTACTCAGCCGCGGCTACCGGTGCTGTCAGTCATCCCCCTTATAAGACACTGTCAGTGGAGGCGCCGGCACCTCACATACTACACGTGCGACTCAATCGGCCGGACAAACGGAACGCCATTTCCCACGTAGTCTTTCAGGAGATCCAGGAGTGCTTCGACCGCATCGACGAGTGCCGCCACACGCGGGCAGTCGTACTGTCCGGCGAGGGAACGGTATTCTCGGCGGGACTCGACTTCACGGACATGTATACTGTGATGAATGCCGGTGTGGAGGGCCTGACAGGCGACGGAAAGGCAGCTAAAGAGTCAGTAGACGTCGCGCGCAAAGGGAAAGTCATCCGAAAAGTGGCGCATT